AACTAGTTTTGTTCCACAGTCTAACTATTGCTATAGACATCGATGTGGCTGTGTTACTATAGTATGCTTATTTTAAGTCCTTTGGATATGGACCAAGGAGTGGGATAGTTGGGACAAATGGTCATTCCATTCCAAGTTTTCTTTTTCTTTTTTTTGAGAGAGATAGAGAGAGAGAGAATTTTTTACAGTTTATTTTTAGTTTTTGGCAGACACAACATCTTTGTATGTGGTGCTGAGGATCGAACCCGGGCCACACGCATGCCAAGCGAGTGCGCTACCGATTAAGCCACATCCCCAGCCCCCTAGGGTTCACTCTTGAGGTTGCATATTCAGTAGGTTTTTGGAAAATGTATAACATCAGGTATCCACCATTATAGTATCATAGAGAATTCATTTCTGTGCCCTAAAAAAATTGTAATTCATCTTTCCCTCTCCCTTAATCCTGGCAACCATGGGTCTTTTTAAAGATAGGTGCCTTTTTGTAGGACTTGTGATGAATAGATTATTAGATATACTTAGTGCTAAGGTAAGGAGAGAGATTTGAGAAACTGGCAATCATCTAGTTGTCTTTTAGCTTTAACCTTGAAAGACCCACTTTGGCGCTGAGTAGGGAGAAATGACTTGGAACTGAATCAGGAAAAATACTGTAGGACTGAAATCTACTCGTTCCGGTACTTTGGCATATAAGAATGGAAATATAATAAGTATTCTATACACAAGACTTAATTGACATTTAAAGTATTAGGTTAATACTAAATTCAGAGACTTGTAATTGTAGGTAATCACCAGATGCTGATATTTACAGGTATTCTAATGAAATTTACCCATAGTTCTCTTTTATTCAGTTGCCTTTATCAGTGTTTGATGAGATATTTTATGTTTATTTATGCCAAATATGGTGGAGATATCATCATGGAGTTAAGGTAGGTGAATCACATCATTGTGTTTTTCATTATACCTTTGAAACATTTTTGCCACACTTGCATTTTAAAAAGTCTTTAGCCTCTGTTTATCTGAGGTGCATGTCTTTATTCATGCCTATGAAAAAAACTTAGCCACAAGGTAACTATAGCTAACTAATCCAGGTAAAATTTTATGTTAATAAAGGCTTTCTTCCTAGGGTTTTCCCCCCTCTCTTTTTCAATTAAGGAAAAAAGAAAACTAATGCTTTCTTTACAACAAGAACAAAATTGTTGTTTTTTTACAAAATCACCAATCTCCACATTTGCTTTTTGTGATATTTTAGTACTTACTAATTTTAAGTTTCTTTTAAATCAAAGTGTTTTACTTTGTGGAACCATCAGTTTTCATTGTAATTTTGTGGTCAATACCCTTAACTACTCTTGACTTGCTTTGATTTCCCCAAACTAATTAATTATTACATTTGCTTCTAAAATAGATAATGGTAGATGTAAGACTTCTGAGTGAAATGCTTAAATATATTCTTTCAAAAAGTATTAAGCATCTTCTAGGCTAAGGGTTAAGCATTGGTTAAGGTACTGGAAGATAGAATGAGTGATCAACAAGATGATTAGTGTTGAACACATTGTATGGTAGGGGAACTAGAAGATACAAATGTAAATAAATGTAAAAGGGTTATTTTAGATACTGAAAAGGACTATGAAAAAAACCCTTTAAAGTGTTAGGGATGGGGTCACTAATTAGATTGTATGGTCAGGGAAGACCACACAGAGGAGATAACATTTGAACTGAGGTCTGGGGGGGGGGGTTAAGATACCACATGAATTTTCAGGGACAGAGCATTCCATTCAGAGGTAAAAGTTTTGGGCAAAGATTCTAAGGTGGGAAATGGGTTTATCCTGTTAAAAGAACAAGAAGAAGTCCAATGGCCCAGGGCTTTGGGAATGAACAGGGGTGTGTAATAAGAAATAAGAGGGGAGGCAGGAGTCAGATCACATGGTACTGTGGAGGTTGTGGTAAGGAACTTAGAGGGTGGGTTTTTTTTTTGGGGGGGGGCTTGTTTTTTCTTAATACTCTGGTTATAGTGGGACGATAATAATTGAGCTTCAAGCAGTGGTTTGGCACAATAGAAGGGGAGACATAATAAATATGTACTTACATAAATATTAAAATATTGTATTAATATAGAAGGACTAAATTTGGTTAGGAGTCTCAGGGAAGATTATTGTTCTTGGAAAATGACATTTAAACTGAGAATTAATGAATAAATATGAATTGATTAGGGGAACACCAAGGGAAAGAGTATTCCAGGCAGAGAAATGCCACAAGTAAAGTCTGAGTCTAGAGAGAACTTAATGGCATAAAAAAAAAAGACAGGTTTCGTTTAAAGAGGGGAAAGTAGCACCAATGCAGCCAGAGGTTGGTAGCATGTACAGGATCTTGTAAGGTGTGTATAGGATTTTAATCATTAGTCTTCTGTAACAGTGATTTTAAGAAAGAGAGTAACAATCAAATTTACATTTGACTACATTATTTATTTCCTACTCTGGAGGTTGAATTGGTTTAGGGGAAGGGAGTAAGTGACTTAATGACAGAGCAGTTGGGTACTACAGTCTAAGTGGGTCAAAGTAGTGGTGATGGGAATAGAGATGCTATCAACAGAAATTGTGACATGAAGGTGAAGTTAAGAATGTGGCTATTGATTAAATTTAGGAGTAATGGAAAGGAGAGATGTTTCAAGGACAGCTCTCAGATTTGTGCCTGAGCAAATGGGTATATGGTGGTGTAGTACGTAGCTACGTGGCAGATGAAAATTATTGTAGTGTTTTGGCATTTCAAGGTCGATCCTTAGCACCACATACAAACAAAGATGTTGTGTCCGCCGATAACTAAAAAATAAATATTAAAATTC